CAGTATTACAAAGTGCAACCTAGATATTTGTCTAACTTGCACCAGGTGCAACTCGATTTTTTAGTGGGTAAACACTGAATAAAACATCTAAATAATTTTTAATATTTCTTACATTAAATATATTAAGCATATTTCTCACATTAAATATTGCAATAAAAGCAGTGCAACTGGAATTTGACTGGTGCAACTAGATTTTTATCTTAGGTTGCACCTGGTGCAAGTAGGTTAACATATCTTAAATTGAGTCCTGGGCCCACTTGCACAGAAGCGATCTTAGCCTTTACAATTATTGTAAATCCTTAAGATCGCGATCTTAGGTTTAGGCTACAATCGCCATCGACTTGCACAAAGCGATTGTAGGCTAAGATCGTTGTAAGTTACATCGAAACTTACAATTGGTCCGGACCAATTGTAAGGAGCTAAGATCATTGTAGTCTGTGACAAAATGGTGTTCAAGTTTCACGCAAATAATCAGCTTTACGTTTGGAGATAGCGTGCTTTTATATTGCATAAAACTGTACTGTATGATTCACTCGACACTTCAACAACACGGAGAATGCACCACCGATTTAGCGTCCGGATACATTGTTATTTGCTGTAGTGAACCACAGAACTATCGAGTCGATATCACAAAGTACTATTCCCAACCCGATTCAATGTTGGAATAAGTGTGAAACAACATACCTTTTGATAATCAAGGAAGGATACTAGCAAATGGTGTCCGCGTCACGATTAACAATGGCCGTGACCTTTTTCATTAACTCAAGAGCAGATAATTTTAGTTTATGGGCAAGATGGGAGTGGTTTCCCCTGGCGCCGCTGCCGTAGAGTCTGTCATGCCCAATGGCAGAGCTCCAAGATATTTTCCTTTCGGTGATGGAGTGATTTTGTCTTAGTTAATCATTAAAGTAATCAAGGTTAACGCAAAATCAAGATTCAATTTTAATTTCACTTTTTAGAAAAATATTTATCAACGCTAATAGGGTTCAATATCATTAATATACTATTTTCACAATATTGAACAACAAATGTCATTAGTGTGTTCAGGAAGATACTTCTTACCCACAAGGATGTATTTCACAATGACTGGCTAAAGATCTGAAGCTAGTGGATATATCATCATACATTTGTACTCAGGAAATATATATAAGATTTTCATCAATGTCCATTAATAAAAGTCATATTCTCCTTTTATTCATGTGTTACCATGGTAACTGTGTGGAATATTAGTATTAAGTTGTATTTCATAAAAACCATGGTTCATCGTTCTGCTTGATTATTACAAAATGCAGAAAATATTACCAGTACATTTGGAAATCAACACAGAATTTTTACATCTACAGACACAAGGGTAGGCTGGGTTATCCTGTCCTATCCTGTCCTTCAAAGCTAAGGCTGACTGACTCACTGAGTTTGGTTTTACACCACTCTTACTAAGAGTCTTAGCAATATTCAATCAACATCACGGCAGGGGACACCAGATATGGGCTTCACACATTGTGCCCATGTGGGGATTTGAACCTGGGTCTTCGGCGTGACGAGCAAACGCTTTAACTACTAGGCTACCCCACCGCCCCTTCAAAGCTAAGGGTCCAGGGGACCCTGATAACTAATTTCAAGAGTAGTAAAGGAAATTTTAGGGTTCTGTAAAGCAATAAACTAGCATAGTGCACTGTGTTATAAGGTGTAATAATGATGCTTATGGCAAAAACTTTGTATCTGAAAATATCTGAGAGTCTCTCAGGATGAAAAATATATTTTTTCGGCATCCAGTCTATATATTTGTGTGTACTGGACAGATATATCAGTGTCACGGAAAAAGCTTAGATAGGTGTATTGTGTACCAATACTACCATAAGACACATGAAGTGTAAAGTGGCAATGTATCACCTTTTTAAAATATGTGCCAAAAGCTGCTTTAATATGCTTGTATTGCGTCAAAAATATTTGTATAAATAATGTATATTTTTTAATGCTTGTATCATCGTCTATCTACAGGGCTCGATTTAGTGCTTTGTTACGTGCACTGGTGCAACCCAGTATTACAAAGTGCAACCTAGATATTTGTCTAACTTGCACCAGGTGCAACTCGATTTTTTAGTGGGTAAACACTGAATAAAACATCTAAATAATTTTTAATATTTCTTACATTAAATATATTAAGCATATTTCTCACATTAAATATTGCAATAAAAGCAGTGCAACTGGAATTTGACTGGTGCAACTAGATTTTTATCTTAGGTTGCACCTGGTGCAAGTAGGTTAACATATCTTAAATTGAGCCCTGATCTATTTAACTCATATTCATTTCATATAGTATTTTGATAATTATTCTATGATGTACATTTTATGTTGTATATCTCGTCTCTCATAACTCCATATAGGAGTGGCATACTTTTATTTACTGTGTATAAATTGAATGTAATGTTTTATATGTATATATGGTGAGACGTTAACAATCTGTCTGTCTGTATCATGTGTATAGACATATCACAACAAGCCTACCTATTGATGTAGTTATTCTAAGTCTACTGATCCCTTCTCCCTTGTTTCCCTCTACTAAAACAGGCGACAGGTGCTAGCAACATGCAGATACACTGCAAGACTACACTAACAGAGTAGCTTAACATTGCAACTCAGGAGTAATCATTAATTACAGACAAAATTGACATTACTTATCAGCTTTGTCATGTACTGACAAAGCTGATAAGTAATGTCAATTTTGTCTGTATTAAAATGTTGAGTATCATTATCATGATTATCTGCAAGCTGTTACCAAATGACTGTGAACGTTTTTATACAGACCAATCACCATACTCTTACATAACAGCTGAAGAACAAAGGGGCAGATAACACACATGATATTCTGCGGTTCAGTGTTGTTTATTTTGAAAACAACTGCTCAAAAAACTGTCAGCATGTTCGTACAAGTGTTTTCTCAGAATATACACTTGGTTGACACATGTCAATATTGTCAATGTCATCGTGTCCCAAATGTGTAGATTGATGCTCATGCTGTTAATCACTGGATTGTCTGGTCCAGACTCGATTATTTACAGACCATCGCCATAGCTGGAATATTGGCGTTAAACAACAACCAACCAATCAAAACTAATGATGCATATTTTCATCAGTTTTTAGTTAGAGGTGGGGTGCTAGGGGGTAGGTTCCAGATGTGAACAACCTCAGGTAAAAACATTATTTGTAGTTGCAACAAAGGTGACTTAATGGTAGAAGTAAATAAATAATATCAATACCCCAAAACATAATGTATGAATGAAGACATCCCCAAAAATCATGCCCTCAGGAGATATATTTAACAATAATGAGTGAGTTTGGTTTTCCACTGCTTTAGCAATATTCCAGCAATATCATGGCAGGGGACACCAGAAATGGGCTTCACACATTGTACCAATGTGGGAAATCGAACTTGGGTTTTCAACGTGATGAGCAGATGCTTTAACCACTAGGCTACCCCACCGGCTCCGTTTAACATTAAAGCAAAGACTCTTTTGTGTCTAATTCTCTGGTGCTTGTGTATTTTGACACATTTCCGTGCACCTTGGTACAGTGGCATAGGACTAGTTATGCTAGACTCAAAAGAATAATCTGTTAAAAAAGAAAATACCATATTATGAAGATAATGATCGAATCAGTAAATGGAACTGATCCATGTCAAAGTCCTTGTTGTGATGATTAAGATCAAGGCCACCGTCACTTAACTAGAAGATTTAACAATATACAAAATATGACACCAAGAACAGGGAATGGAATGACATGGACAAGGTATTTTTGTACATGACAAAGAAATGTACGTCCCTCACACACAAATGCAAAGAATATGAGCATATATGCATATATATATTTATTACCTACGAGGGCGAAAATATCAGGGTTCATATTTTTCATACGATGCCCTAGGGCAAAATATCACTTTGTCATGAACAATGCTATGACGTCATGTTTCTTCTATGACGTTGCGTTCTACATGCGGCGACAACGGGTAGCCAGCCTATGTTTGAAAGTAGATTTGGGTTTATTTTCCTCAATTCGACAACTTTGTAAGAAACAGAATATTATATTCGTGCCCATATCATACTATGATTACGAAACTCATGCCTAAATATTGGTATATCCCTCACTCTCGCTCGGGAAATACCAACATATAGGCACTTGTGTCATAAACATAGTTTGACATGGGCACTTTTATAATATCCTCTGTATACTGCATCCCAAGAGGTGCTAATTTAGATTTCATTGTACCAAATTCTTGACAAGAAATATAAAGATCTTGTAATTACATTATTACAATAATCATCAAATCTTAAAACTTAATCCGCTATTACTATTTACAGGACCCTCATATATAGTGCCTGAAAGGACCCCTGAAATGGATGTCTGCCAGACCCCTACACCTGTAGTTTTGTAAGTCAAGGTAAAAACATGCACTAGGATGCAAGAAATTATGACCAATGTAAGGTTACCATGGTTACAGGGAATCTTCACAAGCATAGTTTCATTACCAGGCCTCATTACCACGTCACTGCCTGTCAATATTTAAACTTTAAAATGTTGATTCCATTTTGATTAAAAGTCCATAGTGGACACATACATATATGGCAAATCGTATTATAAAGAAATAGGTATCGTGAACTTGAATGCCAGGAACATGACATGGAGATGTCCATGTATTGTACGTGTGCTGTCATGTGATCAGCAATGTCCAAACTTTGATGTTCATACGTCCAGCTGGATCTTAAAACATTGTGTTTATGCTTTCTCACTGATATATTCCTTGACTTTATCTAAACCCGAATTCAAATGCAATAACTCGCATGTTTCTGAATGTTAGAATTCCTAGGCTATAGCCATAACTGACACGATGCTTCACCCCAAGTACATTTGCAACAGTTGTCAAAATTGAAGTGTTATCAATGACAAATGAAAGGTGTCTCTAACAACACGGAAGCTGGTATTCGAACAAACCACTATCGACATACTTGACACGCGATCCCATGTCTGTACATTCACGTCAGGAACTACACAGCAGGTGCGCTCCACGAAATGTTCCAAAGACACCACAGCATTTGATAAACGTTAATCTTCTTTTCACAATCTATATCGTAAGAACGGAAGTACACCCTCGTCCGCCATCTTGATGGATGGTCACGTGATTATTGTTGCATTTTATCTTCATTTAGTGAGAAATGTACGGGATATGAACGAACAAATATGTCGAAAGCTTGTGTAGCATTTCATTACAATTATGTCACAAATCTGCTGTAGTCGTGATGGTATTTTTATGATTTTTTTATCAACAAGTGTTTGCCAGGGGCAGGTAACTCCCCCGTATGAGTCATACAACTGCTCACAGAATATGAATTAGATCGGACACTCACGTCGAAGACGAACATAATTTACGTCTTTTAACTACTAGATCAAACATGCAGTCTTTATATTTTTATGGGTCAATTTCATCAATGTTATGAAATAGAACTAGAGAACATTTATGAAATTGATAAAAATATAAAGACAGCGTATGTTTGATCTAGTAGTTAATTTAAAAGAGGCAAATTATGTCGGTAATAGCCGCTTGTTCGGTAATATCCGACACCGCTCCAGTAAATAAAGCCTCGAGTGAAAGTAGGATGAATAGATGAAAGAGTAATATTAGTCAGTCTAAATGCCTCTTAAAGATATTTGATATTGTAACTAATTATGTGTGTGCGCGCGTGTGATATGTGTGTGTTTGAGTTTGTCGAAACATGACCATGTATACTCATGCCAATAATGGTTGTCACCCCCTCCCCACCCCAACTTATGCTAAGACTTAACTTGACTTAACAAATAGATTCTTTTATGTATACCGAAAGCGCCGTCTTCAGATATGTCCACAGAATGTTTTTTTAAGAATGTGAAAATATATATTTGTAGTGTACATTAACCCAACGCACAAGAAGTGTGTCCTTACGACATTTTGCTTCACTATCTTAGCGGAAGCATTGGGGATTTTACGTGCGCTGAATATCAATGTTGAAACAAAACACGAAGTATATTTCTCAGATTTTGAGAGATCGGGTTACACCTGACCCTTTACGATTATATTCAAATTTGCGTAAAGGTACAATAATAATGAGCGAACAGCTCCGGTATTCCTTTCCGCGGCTATATCGCTCCATTAGTGCTAGAATCAACTTTGACCCCACACAATCAGACACTTTCACATGGACCGAAGCCAGAAGGTTGAAAACATTAAAAGGGATCGGATGGTTAAGTTCTGTCACTTTCCTCACACCAGTCATCGTGCCGACATTGCATGCATCTAGATTAATAATGCACGATATGAATTTTACGTGGTTGCGATTATCGAAATTTATCCTATAAATATGGAGATAAGCGTGGAACAATATTCCAGTTCAGTTTAGAGATAGTTTGAACGCAGGTCTGACCGCCTCCATGGTGTAGTGGTTAGAGCTTCCGCCCGGAAAGCGGAAGGTCGCGGGTTCGATCCCCGACCGCGTCATACCAAAAGACGTTAAAATATGGTACTTGTTGGTCCCTGCCTGGCGCTCGGCATTAATGGGTACAACAAGGACTGTTCGGCTCGGAGTCCGTATAATGTGTCAGTGGGGTATTCATGCTTCACTGCGGCATGGTATCTCAGTGGGCTAGCACTATAAAACCAGCTTCAGTCTGGGCTAGTACAAGTAGCCGCACATACACATACACACGCATGCGCGTCGTCATATGAGCGAAATATTCTCAAGCACGACGTTAAACCCAATTTCACCTCACCTTGAACGCAGGTTTGAGCAGTATTTCAGTTTTTATTACCTACGAGGGCGAACATATCGGGGTTCATATTTTTCATACGATGCCCAAGTGCAAATATCACTTTGTCATGGTGACGTGACGTCATGAACAAGGCTATGACGTCACGTTTCTTCTGTGACGTTGCGTTCTACATGCGGCGACGGCGGGTAGCCAGCCTTTTTTCGAAGGCAGATTTCGGTAAATTTTCTTCAATTTGACGACTTCGGTAAGAAACAGAATATTATATTCGTGCCCATATCGTAGGCTACTATGTTTACGACACTCGTGCCTAAATATCAGTATGTCCCTCGCTCGGGAAATACCAACATTTAGGCACTCGTGTCGTAAACATAGTATGACATGGGCACTCATATAATATCCTCTACCGTGCCGTACCATGTTTTCGGGGTATGTCTTTTTCCCGTAATTTCTCGCGTACAGAGATATGACAGCGCCACCTGTAAACACCGTTTCCAGTGCAGAAGCTTCTGTGACAACCGGGACACAAAATGTTTGAAATAATCAGCTTTCACCTAAGTTGTGACCTAAATTTCTGTCAAAGTACTAAAATTCTACCCTAGAACGTAATGCACTTTCAGAACCTTCATAAATGTGATCATAACTTTTGAAATAAAGCTCGTAACTTGTCAAGCGGACCATCGTCTGCTAGAGTGAAAAGCCACGCATAAACATCACGTGACTCTAATGGAATGTTGCCGACGTAATACAAAAACTATATAAGACCGAATTAGTCATCTCTTGCATATTTTCTTTTTCGGTGTTGCAGAATTCGTCTCGGCTTGTGACCACTTGGCTCATTTAAAATACTGCTGCGATGTCACTGTACTGCGCAGACATGACGTGTTTTATCATGTTTATTGTCCCTGCCATGCAGGTAAGAAGAATGAATGTGCACATGATTGAATAACTTACGTGTAAATATGTTTATTTTAATTTTTTTTTACAAAAACACACTCAAATAATCAAGAAAATAATTACCAGTTTGCTTGACATTTTATTAAAATGCCACGTTGTATTTGTTGACTTCTTGGGAGAAGAATGCATCACCTGAGCTTCCATACAAGGTCGTGACCCCGCGCTATAACGAGTAACCCGAAAACATGGTACATCACTTCTCCCGCTAGCGCTGGCGGACAGACACGAAATGTTCACTGCATTGGAAACCAGCGGATGACAGAACATTCTGACAATAAATTTATGAAAGGTGAAATGATATTTAATTACGGAATTACAGTTTTGATAATCTACTGATACGCAATAATTTGCATGGTCATCTTTTGCGTTATTACCCCGAAAACACGTTACACCATGGTATATATCAGCGCGCGTCAGCTTGGTGTCAGAATACTTCACCCACGAAACACTACGAGTCAGGAATTCGAACTCCCGATATTTTCAGTTTTCAGCTCGAACACCAAAGGGACGCAACTCTAACAAGCCCAAGGGACGGATCAATCAAGGATACACTGTAACTACATTAATTTGGTATATTGCATCATTGGTTATCGGGCGTTTGTCTGTATCCAACACGGAGTGAGTGAGTTTAGTTTTACGCCGCACTCAGCGGTCTGTAAATAATCGAGTTTGTACCAGACAATCCAGTGATCAAGAGCATGAGCATCGATCTACGCAAATGGGATACGATGACATGTCAGGAGCCTGACCACCCGAACGTATAATCACCTCTTACGGTGGTGTCCACCGCCGTGATATTGCTGGGATATTGCTAAGAGCGGCGTAAGCTTACTAAACTCACTCACTCACTACTGAAGGTTAATTCTAACCCGCATCTTCACGGGTAGGTCAATTCTTATAATTTCCACTGGCAATTCACTTCTTATAATGTTCACTGCTATTTTTTTCACTTACACCAACACTTCTGTTTCTGAGGATTATCAACACTGCGCTGATGCTCATGGTGTTGATCACTGGATTGTCTGGTCCAGACTATTTTTTACAGACTGCCTCCATATTGATCGCAAAATGCTGAATGCGGCCTTAAACAACAAACCAACAAAAGTAAAAGACAAACTATTACCATTTGTCCGAACAAAATACGCATGATCTTCTTTGGTTTTCGACCGCCTCCGTGGTGTAGTGGTTAGAGCGTCCGCCCGGAGAGCGGAAGGTCGCGGGTTCGATCCCCGACGGCGTCATACCAAAAGACGTTAAAATATGGTACTTGTTGGTCCCTGCCTGGCGCTCGGCACTAATGGGTACAACAAGGACTGGTCGGCTCGGAGTCAGTATAATGTGCCTGAGTGGGGCATTCATGCTTCACTGCGGCGTGGTATCTCAGTGGGCTAGCACTATAAAACCAGCTTCAGTCTGGGCTAGTAGAAGCAGCCGCACATACACATACACACGCATGCACGTCGTCATATGAGCGAAATATTCTTAAGCACCACGTTAAACCCTTACGAACCCCCTGAACCCCGCCTTGGCTCTTCCATTGCAAAACATTAACTTCAATGTGGTCTTTAGTCATTTTCAAAAGAAGGGGGTTCGAACTCCCTCACCCAACCGCCCACCCACCCCCTCTGGATCCGCCACTGGATACGAGTTAGTGAGTTGAAATATAGCGTCACATCGTCACTATTCAGCCATTGCTACACATATACACAAGCCCGTTATAAATACAAAGTAATGTTTGAAAGGAATATCTTTAAATACATATATTATCATTACAATTATTATTATTTATTGTCGGATCATTAAAGAATTAGAAGCTAAACAATACCCGAATTTAGGCATATGAAACAAAATTACCAAGTCATTAGGGGCATGGTTTTGATTACGCTTTTCAGTATTCTGACAAAATGTCTGACTTCGGCGTTTCAGGAATATAGGCACAGTTAATACATTTGTATTAGTTACACATAACCAAGTTAAAGATTTCAAGACACACACGTCTCGAGCTAAGGGGAAAGTCCGTAAATTCCCTTGCCTCGGGGAAAGATATATATAGATAAAGGTATATATCACGTGACATATAAGTTACTTGGCAACGGTGCTTGTGGATTTCAATCATATTTAACAACCTCTGCACCAATAAAACGTCTTAATAGGCGTTGGGAATTCCCCTGAAATTAACGTTTCCGCCAACAGATGAGTATTTCTAGGTATTACGCCGGAAGCTATAAGTTGACAGACGAAAGCGTGACAATACATCCGGCTATGTTCCGGCGGTAGCCTATATCATTCTTGATCCCAGTCTGTTCTCAAGTCACCCCCGACAGGTGCTTTCTATGCTGCAGTCGGCGCTCAGTACTCCTGTGTAGATCATGGGTTTTGCAGGTAGGTGACACTCTGTGTTCAACCGTCATCAGGGACAGTAGGTTTATGATTGATTGATTGATTGATTGATTGTTGTTTAACGCCGCACTCAGCAATATTCCAGTTATATGGCGGCGAGCCTGACCTCCGAACCCGTTAGTCACCTCTTACGACAAGCATGGGTGTTGAAGACCAACTCTAACTCGGATCTTCACGGGTCGTAGGTAAATGAAATACACTGTCCATGAACGATGTATAGGTAACAATGAAACAATTTAAAAAGCCAAATATACGATGACCGGACTACCTTCTGTCTTGTCAGCTCAGACATAGATGAATTAAGCCGAGGGGACGCTTCAACTCCACCGTCCCAAATAGTGAGTGAGTGAGTTAAAATTTATCGCCACATCGGCAATATTTCAGCCATATCGTGACGAGAACAATTAATTTTATACATAGTAATTAGTGATAAATTGTAAAAACCTGTCAACGAAGGACAGTAAAATAACTAGATTATCACAGATTCGAATTTAAAACTAATAATTAAATCTAAAACAGTTTAACTATAGATGGCAATACATGGTAAAAACAGGCTATATATTGCCAACAGCTGAAACCGTCCCAAATAAGTTGCAATACCGATTAGCATGAAGTTAGACATAATACACATACTTCGGGAGCGACAATTTCTGCTAGATTTTATTTACCTATGATTACAAAGGTATGAATTAAACACATCTGGCAATAATATATATTTTGTATAGGAGGTGGTTTCTGCAAAATTAGATATTACAAATAAATATATTAAACACGTTCTGCAACAATGTATTTTTTGTGGCAGACAAATATTTTTCAATATATGAATCATGATAATATTTAATTTTTCTGGGCCAAATAAAACCCCAGGACACAGTGTGTAAAAGACAAAATGGTGAATTTTGCATATGAATTGATGACTGAAATTCTATGACACCAGTGTGGCAAAGACTGACTGAGTTTGGTTTTACGCCGCTTTTAGCAATATTCAAGCAACATCACGGCAGGGGACACCAGAAATGGGCTTCACACATTGTACCGATGTGGGGATTCGAACCCGGGTCTTCGGCGTGACGAGCCAACGCTTTAACCATTAGGCTACCCTACCGCCCCAGTATGGCAAAGAAGGGTGGTTGGTTATTGTCTGTTTGCAGTGAAAACGTACCGGTGAATTGCACTTTAAACAAAAACTGAAGGGGGTAAGCGCAATAGTTGGAACAGTGAAACAAATGCACGTGCGGTACGTGATGAGCGTTAACTTAGACCAACCCTACTTGTTCTCGGTGTCTCATTTTATGTGTATACCCCCTTGTAATACAAACCAATAATACCGATTTGAAACTATGATCGTTTGTTAAACAACTTTCATCCCAAGTTGAATAAAATTCTGAGATTTAATTTTCAAATGGCAAGGTAAAATTATGAGGATTCGCAATCTTAATTTCACTTTATTTGATTTACTTTTTTATTTAAAGTGAAATTCATTGGTACGTTTTCACCGTAAACAGACTATAGTTTGTTGTTTAACGTTGTTCAGCGCTATTCGAGCTATAAGGCGGATGTCTGTAAATATTTGAGTCTGGACCACAGAAGCTTGTATAGCTGAAAATAATACGTCCTCAGTCCAACACTCGTTCGCTGATATATAAAGATGGTTATCATTGAAAGAGTGTTGGACCTTGGACGTATTATTTTCAGCAATGCGAGGGCCTGTGATCTGGACAATCCAGTGATCAACAGTATAAGTATCGACCTATGCAATTGGATACGATGACATGTGTCAACCAAGTCAGCGAGCCTGACAGCCGATCCCTTTAGTCGCCTCTTACAACAAGCATGGGTTACTGAAGATCAATTCTAACCCGGATCTTCACGGGTCAGAAACACATAGAAACATCCAAGAACGGGTGGCTGGATCATTCTTAGCATTGTCATCGATATAGCAAAGTATACGTCACCAGAATAACGCCCATCGTTGCTTTAAGAAAAGGAAAACGTTATTTAAGAAGTTTTGACACTCGGAAGTCCTGGTTACTCGTTATTCTATTGATAGTATTTCCGCTGAACCCACCAATGGAAGATATTATCGTCGCCATTTGTTCTGTGTACAATTTTGTGACTGACACGAAATATCAAAGCGCTTAGCAGTGTTGAAAATGGTGTGTGGTGTGTGTGCGCGCGCGCGCGCGTGTGTGTGCGTGTGTGTCATCGTTTACATTTATCCCATGTAACGAAATATACTATTCCAAAAAAGAAACGCATACCCCTGAAATTTTTGCGAAACAACCAAATGGATAATTTTAGATAACGGAGACGTTGAGCGCCATGGTGACGACTTAGCACGGGCTCGACGTGTGTGTGTGTGTGTGTGTGTGCGCGCGCGCCTTTTTAATCCTTGTAAGAAATCGCATCAAAATCAACATTTTCAGGTAAAGTCGATTTTTCACTTGTGCAGTTGTGTAAAATCACGTAATCAACACTTTGTTACATATTTTGACAATTGTTTGAACACAATAGGTAATTAATAGATTTTTAAAAATACAAAACGACTATGCGTTTCTATTTTGGGATAGTATAGTCTCCAAGCGGATTAAATAACATTTTACATATCTGCAGGTAACGATGCATATTTACTGCCCACAATTGTGTTGACAGGAATGATGCCAATCAAGTTCTACAGTTTGGTTTGGATTGTTATTCCGAATCTGATGACATCACTGGGTCACCCACAACATTCCGACATTGAAAAATGCAACATTCACCACGAAGCCAATGAAACAACAGTGGACTGTTCACGTCGTGGTTTCAACCGAGTTCCACGAGGAGTTCCACGAAACACAACAGTCCTTAATCTGGGTACCAACAATTTATTAAACCTCAGGAAAGGATCACTCCCTAACCTTCCTTCATTACATACACTGCTCGTGAATGATAACAACATAGAGTTTCTGGAGGAAGGTGCTCTGCAAAGCCTACCTGTCCTTCAGCAGCTAAATTTGGATGGGAACAAATTGAACTTTTCTTATTTCTCTCTTCCTCTTGGGACATTCCAAAACCTGACATCTCTGACAACACTCCGTGTTAGCAGAATGACGATGCGGTTTACTTCATTGACATATCCTGACACTACATTTGCTGATCTTCACCATCTTGAGTCACTGGTCATTGATGGGGCTGGAGAACCTGTGTTTGGATCTGGCTTTGCACAGATGAAGAACCTGAGGAGTCTGAGTTTTGGATCGGATTGTGGCATTATTAGACGTTTGAGAAATAACTCATTTATCAACTTTAGGAAAGCACCTGTCAGCAGCCTGTCATTGTCAGCATGTAGAGATTTTGTATCTATAGATGACAATGCCTACCTTCCTTTTCCCAATCTAAAATGTCTATTTGCGAGAGACACCAGACCCTTTGGACTGCATCCGTCATTGTTAAGCTTAAAAGGACTTAGTGGAAGGAATATGACCGAAATAGACTTTTCAAATGTCAAGAGGTATGATGTTACAATTCATGGTCTCATGAAAAATCAAACACTCGTGCTCACCTCTGAGATGACACGTTACATTGTAACCATATGTGTTGAGCGTCTGATTCTTAGAGAAAATAACATAGTGGTAATAGAAAGTAGTGCGTTATTGCAGGAACCGTTTCAAAGCTGTTTAAAATATTTTGACATCAGCCGCAATGCTATAACTGGCGAACCAACCTTGTTGTATCATCTGCCTGAATTTGTTAACCTTGCTGTGCTGGATGTGTCAAAGCAGTCAAATCAACAGTATGCTGGTGATGTACAAGATCGACATTCCGAAGACCTCTTGAAAATACCTTTCAGAGGAAATTGGACATTGTCTATCCCTCCATCTTTGGAGAAACTTTTAATGAGTGGTTCAGGAGAACATGGAAGATCATTTCAAGGAATTGGGATTTGTGTTCGTGGAGGTTCACACTTGACACATGTAGATATTTCCTATTCTGCTTTGATAACGGGAAAATGGCGTTTTTATGGTTTAGAACATGTAAAATATGTTGATTTTACAGGCAATTTCTTTCAAACGATTCCGATGACATTTTTTCAATCAATTCCAAAAGTCAGGATACTGTATCTTAGACATGTACACTTTGATGTTGATTTGATATCAAATCAAAGCTCACGAACTCTATTTAGCCCACTAAAAAGCATTGTTTCTTTAGATATATCAATGAACTCTCTGTATAGAATGTATACACATATGTTCGAGGATCTTAAGACCTTAACATATTTGAACTTAAGTCATAATAAGTTTGAAGATGTACCTATTGAATTGTCTGGAATGTTGAGCATCTCTCATATTGATATTTCATTTAATTCTATCAGTTTTTTGAAGGCCAACGCAAGAACAATGTTAGATCAAAGGCTGAATGATTCCCAACCCATTTCGCTTGACCTTCATGGAAACATCCTGTCTTGTGGATGTGGAACCCTGGACTTTCTGACATGGATAATTGACACAGATGTCCAGTTTCGACACTTCGATTCATACAGCTGCCTCAACACTGAGGGTCAGCTCATTAAACTTTCAAATATTACCAGTTCCTTTGGCAGACACTGGAGATCTTGCTATGGTAGATTTTGGCTTGCCTTTTCAGTTTGTCTGATGTGTGTACTGATTTCTTGTCTTGTCGTTTGTCAGTTGGTGTTGAAAAACACCATCTCTTTAAAATACTGGATATTGAGGTTGATAGGGTTTGATCGTTTTGTGCCACGAAGACAAGATTTTAAGTATGACATATTTATTTACTATTCTGAACATGATGATTATCAGTGGGTGTGTACCACGTTTCTACAGAAGGTAGAGGTAGAGAAAGGTCTGCGACTTTGTATTCCAGACAGGGACTTCGATGTGGGCGTTTGTGCAGCTGAAGAAATTATTAATTGTATTCACAACAGCTGGAAGACTGTCCTATATGTAACCGAAACCTTTCTTCAGGACGAGATGTGTTCCTTTACACTCTCATCTGGGGTCTATGCATGCAACAATAACATGCCCAAGAGACTAATACTTCTATATTCCGACACCATCTTGCATCACCCTCTGCCTCCATTACTCACTCAGCTTCTGGATGGAGATAATGTGTTTGTTCTGGAAGAGCTGGAAGAAAAAAGAGCCTGGCAACAGTTCTTTGAACTTGTTTTGAAGTGGATCTGAACATACGTTTTAGATATTTCTTCCTATATTGAGTATGATGTCTGATATGAGTATTTTAAAAAAAAAGTGTTGGTGAGATCGGAATTATTACCCACAATGAAACAATCGAATGTCAAGGTGAAGGTCATCTGTTCTAAATGCCTTGTATGACCCCAGGAGTGCCCAGAACTACCTGGCACCATCAATCCATAGACTGACTGACTGACTGACTGAGTATGGTTTTACGCCGCTTTTAGCAATCTTCCAGCAATATCACAGCGGAGGACACAAGAAGAGGGCTTCACACATTGTACTCATGTGGGGATTCGAACCCAGGCCTTCGGCGTGACGAGCGAAAGCTCTACCCACTAGGCTATCCCACCGCCCCTCAATCCACAGAACCACTCTGATTACGAATTGTGTACTGGGAAATGTTCACTCACTCTTATTGTGCCTTGAAGCCCATTTCTAGTGTCCCCTGTCGTGATATTGCTGGTGTACTGCTAAAAGCAGCGTAAAACTAAAGTCACTCACTCTCTTATTGTGTCAACTGTTGGCAGTTCTGTGGCTGTTGCTGACATAAATAAGAGCATCCTATAGATGTTCGGGGGGCTAGATCTCGAAACCTTGATGGACCATGTCAATACTTGGATGAGGTGATTCTCAAAATGGCCGTTGTCAGTCTTGCCGTGTGAGGTTGCACGTTATCGTATTTGAAAAATGGCGAAAAATTCGTCTGTGCAATGCATTGCCGTTAGATTGCCCTGGACGTGTACCAGGTTATTTCTACAGGTATGGGAGATGGCTTCCCAAAGCATTACACACTAGCCACCAAATCTGTTCAGTTACAGTATGCAGTTTCGAGCACAACGTTCCTTACGAGGTCTTCCGGAAATGCAAAACCGTGACTCGTCACTAAACCAAACACGTTTCCCTCGTTGTTGTGGCCATACTCTGTCCTTGACACCATTGGCATTGCAGCCGATGATGTTAATCCATCAGAATGACTCCTCGAACTGGTCGTCCCCTCTATGTTTGAACGGAAATCCTACACAATGCTGATATTCCTGTAGCCTTGAAGGTCGTCATGGTGAGCCTACCACGTAAGTCATGAACCTGTCCAGCTCTGCAGTGGTGATGCGTGGTCGACCGGACCTGACCCTTTGTCTGAAAACGGTTGCAGTTGTTCTGATGGTGCTTGGCGATACGTGGAAAAGTCTGGCTATAGCCGAAACAGAGTCGCCTGTCAGGCGGAATTTGTGTCAGTCGTGTCATGTTTTCACTGTTGCTGTAGATCTGTGATGAGAGACAGAGGGAGTGTGAGTGAGTTTAGTTTGACGGTGATTTTAGCTATATGACTGCAGTGGACACCAGAAATGGGCTTCACGGTGAGAAACAAAGAAAACGTATGTTGCACGTTCATTACATGTTGGTGGGTTTTCCCGTCACACCTTTAGTCTTTTACGGTAATTTTGGGTTGTATTTTATTCTACCAGCACAAATCCCCCCCCCCGATGTATGCAGTCATGTTCAATTCCTATTTTCTATTCATTTTGTGTCAATAGCAGAAATCCTCCGTGAGATATTTCCTAATTTTGAGTTGATTTTAAGAGCATGTGTGGCTTACGGTCCAGTTACGATTTAAACATTTGTCTGAATAATACAGATATAGTATGAAAACATAGGGGATTCGATAACCAGATGACGGCATTTACAAAGAACTAAACAATGTACTTGTAATCCATGGATCGGGAATATATTACAGGTTACAGCAGAGATCATTGATGCTTCAGATTTGGAAAGGTCCTATCCATCTCTACTGTATTACTTTTCGAGGTCTGTATAAAAGCCTGTTTCTACCATGATCAAACTTTTGAGCCGAAATACATATGTGGCAGACTCAAATATATATATATATGTACATAGTTTTAATTAAAGTTTGGAAGGTTATATTGAGTATTAAGGTAGATGGCATTGTTTCCATTTAATTACTTATTCTAACATCTGTAAGAATATTAGGTATGTTTTATATGGTAGAATGATGAAATCTTAGTTATGTTTTATACTTCATTTTATTCTCATGCCATAGCTCTGCATAGTAAGCCTAGTAACTCTCAGTCTAACCTCCGCTAACTGTCACACTGCATGCTTACAACACTCCTTGCCCCAGCTTTCAGTCAGTTCTATTGTTTCACTGATAGGCCAAGCTGGCCATAGCTTAAACTACAGCTGCGTATCAAAAGTTTGTTCACTTCATAAATGGAAACGCTTTTAGTACTTTGACATTAAAGTACTGCTTTTAATTTAATTCCAGTGTCTGTTTGCAAATCCCATTCGTAAATTATGCATTCAAATGAGCTCAAGTTGTGTGTTCTCATCATTGTTGTGCGTTTAAACAACTTAGTAACCGCTCTGATACATTAACGGAATCGCAGGATGAAATTCAGGAGCGGCGATCATCGAGACAGAAAGGTGAGTTATACTTTTATTTTGTTATTGTGCTTAAATTATGACATCAACGTTTGAGAGGATATATTTAAACTATCCTCTGGCAGAAAGATAGAACAGTTACAAATTTCATTCCATCATAATTAAGCGTATAAAATCTTCCCTGTAAGAAATCTGAACTTTTTTGCTTGAAAGTATAATGTTTCGTTTCTGGGATGCTTTTAGTCTTCGGTTTGAAACATTTGGTAACGCACAATTTGTCGATAATAAACTGTCGTGATTTCTTTACAGAATGGATCAGGCAAAGAAACGAAACTGGACAAACTTGGAACGGAGCAGGATTGTGATATTGAGGGATGCAGGGAATAAATGGAGTACCATTCAGAAGTTTATGGCGAGAGAATACAAGTGTGATGTCTCAGTTAGAGGTATGATCAAGTTATATAAGAAATACAAAGAATCTGGCCGTATTCAAGATTTGCCAAGGTAAGGCATACCTGGATGTACTTCAAGACGTGAAGACCGAATAATCAGGAAACTGTGTCTGAAGGATAGATATGCTACACTGAACATTATTCATGGTAGACTAAAGCAATCATTGAGTAAACAGGTTAGTCGGATGACTATCTCTCGTAGAGTACAAACATTTGGGTTAAAATGTTTTGTCCCTGGCAGAAAACCTCTTCTCAATAAGAAGCAAAGAAAACAGCGATTTTCATGGGCTAAACGGGTCAAACATTTTCGGCTGCCGCAGTAGAACAAGATATTATTTTCTGATAAATCCATTTTCCGTTGCTTCAGTAACCGAAGACGCATGAGAGTTCGACGTTTCAGCTATGAACGCTACAAAACAACTTGTTTATAGAGCACTGTAAAGCACCCCGCTCAAGTTCATGTCTGGGGGATGATTTCCCACAACGGGCCAGGAATTCTGAAAATTGTTCCAGGAACATTGAATAGTGAACGATATCAACAACATATCATCAACGATATTTCAAATCATGGTTCCTGTCTGTTTTTTCCAGAAAAAGGCTTTGTGTTCCAGCATGATAATGCTCCAGCTCACAATTCCAGATCTACACGTGCCTATCTGGCTCGCAGGGAAATTCAGGTGCTGCCATGGCTGGGAAATTCCCCTAATATGAATCCCATAGAGACAGTGTGGGATATCATTGGGAAGAAAGTAGCTAAAGATATGCCTACATCAAGCCATGACCTCTGGAACTCTGTCAAAAATCATTAGTTTTCTTTGCCAAATTCAGTGTTCAAGAATTTCTACAAGTCCATGCCAAAGAGAATCAAAGCACTGGTCGCGGCCAAAGGTGGAGCTACTCATTATTGAATAAAGTTCACACATAAACTACTTCTCATTGTGTTTTCCTTGTTTTCTTTTGCTTATTCGAGCTTAAAATGAATGGTTTGAATGGATTTCCTTGGGTGAACAAACCTTTGATACGCAGCTGTACAATGTAAAGATTTTAAACTCACATGCTGTCCTGTACTTCGTAAGGAAGGTTACCTTTACAACAAGGGGATCTTTATAAGGATTTTAGGTAGGTTCATATTGTATAAAATGTTGTATATATATATATATATATGGATGGTTTCTTGTTTACTACAATAAGAAATATAATTTATTGTGTAAGTCAGACTTGGTTTACTTGAAATATAATATATATCTTATAAATGTGTATAGTTGAAGATGAACTATCAGATCACTGTGTTATTGTGAGTTTATTTATTGTTTGAACGCAATTCTAAACATATCAACTAAATATATGGCAACTAGGTAATGACTAGTCAGTATGAATGCATGCCTGTATGTTTGGTATGTGTGGTTGATAAACACACACATATATATATATATAAATATTATATATGATTCCATGTTGATTAGTGTGGCGAATGCAATTGTATCTTATTTTATATCATATCACTTGTATATATATGTTGTTCTCTTCATACATATTTATTTGTTATGCAGATCTGTGTTCATTCCGGAGAATATCCTCCCTAAACAGCTTGATTACAACCAACCTGGTATGTAACACCTAACCAGAAAAAACCCTATATGTATACCAGAAGTGTATTTACTATTAGAATTTCCTAAAGGTACCTACAGTATGTCTGTATGATCATTGTATATTTGTATTAATATTATGTAACATTATAACTTGTGACATAGTTCAGATGTATTTAACTAGGTGTATTTAATAGGCTTAACGAGTGATTCGAGTATGTACATATTTTATGTGATGCCATTTAATATAGTTCCTTATGTTCTTTCAGGCTTTTTAACACGTAGATCCAGAATAAATGTATCGGCCTCACAACCCACAGCCGTTTGTATTCTTTTGTATGGATGCAAACAAGGCGCTGTCATACATACATTATGTGTTGAGCGATTAACGCCGCATTCAGCTGTAACAGGCGTGGTTCTCAGTAGACAATCACGGCCAGTGACAGCTGAGTTAAGTTACATAGTGTGTAGGAACATGATGTTTAATTAACCTTGTTTGGACTTTGCGTTGTGTACTTTTATTTTTATAGGGGTGCGTTCGGGTTAATCTGTTCTCTACTCAAAACTCAGTGACCAGTTCGTAAATCGGGCATAAAGCCTATTGGGAAATAACAGACACAAGATAACACTGATAATAATTTATTACAAAAGACAACAAAACTTAACAGTCTGTAAACTACACTTCTCTCTCACAATATGAAAAAAACCAGCTTTGTGAGAAAAAAAACAAACCCAAACCCCAATAACCTCTTCAAAATAGAACCTCCCGAAACCAACCCCGTCTAACTGGACATTACCCAAAGTCTATAA